GATCATAGAATCATAGGATCACAGAAAGTTTTGGGTTGGAAGGGACCTTATAGATCATCTAGTTCCAACCACTTGCCGTGGGCAGGGACACCTTACACTACACCAGGCTGCTGGTTGGTGAATGTTGCCAGTTTGCCACATAACACAGTGATGCAGCTGGCATCCCAAATGGCAAAGGAGCAATACACTGGCTGCCTTCCCATGTCCTTGAACTACTCCAGAACTGTTCCTTTCAGAAGTCCCTGTAATGTGTCTCCTGTGAATGGTTGAGGTTGGAAGGGACCTCTTGTCCAATGACTCTAAGCTGTAAGAAGTGCATCTTGGCTGTAGTAAGAGTTAGAGCTGTAGCTTGTTGTGTAAGGAGATTTGGCCACTTCTGCTTTAGCATGGAAGAGGTACTGAGCTATTTACAGCTTAGAAAGACATAAGAGTTTCATTTCTGAGTTTTCTGCTCTTAAGAATATGCTAAGGGAGGCTTCACAAGACACTATTTTTGTCTCAGTACCACAGAAGAATATTCCATATCCTCTTTCACCCTTTGCATTACTGTTTGTGCTGGTTCTGTGAGAGGTGCACTTTTTATTTTTTTTCACATAAACAGTAGTTCTTCCTTCTGAAAACTATTGTGTTAGTAAAGTTTTGCAGTCCACTAATTGAACACAATAGAATACATAGAGGAAAGAATTCCTGCAGCAATCCTGCATTGATCTGTTTCTTAAGTTGTGTGCTCGTGATGATTTTCAAGGAAATTCTCTGACCTTTAAGCTGTTGATTCTGAATATTTGCTCACTGAAGAAATGTTCTTAATTACAAAGCAACCTCATACTTTTCCTCAATTCTGAGAGAAGTTCATGAGGAAACATCTGCAAAAGGCATATTTTCCCCTGTAGTAAATAAATTATTTTTAGGTCCCTGCTTAAAAATCAGCTGCGAAGAATGAGAAAGCTAGCAGCAGTCGTTCTGTTATTGATAACTTTTACCTGGTTTTGGAAAAATTATTTTTTTGTTGCTGTTTTTCAAAGGTAGCAAACAAGCTATCTGCTTGCCATTTTTCCTGCTTCTCTTTTTGTCTCTAATGTCCTTTACAAGAAAAATTAAATGATCAAAGAGCAAAGAAGGTGAAAGGAAAAGGCAGATAATGTAATTTCTGTGAGTTTATTACCTTTTTTTTTCTCCCTGCAATTTCCTAGTACTGTGTCTTTTTCTTTTTACAGACCATTCTTACAGTGGCCATTTCTCATCTAGGGCATTTTTCAGAGATTTGAGATGCTCATGGTCAAGGTGTCTGTTCTACCTGTTCTGTGGCATTTCTTTTTCCGAAAGGAAACTAGCAATTTTCACTTCTCTGGATTGGTGACTTTCCTCTATCTATTCACTGCATTTCTTTGCCTGGCTCCATTTCTTTCGTATGCTTGCAGTGAGTTTCTTGAGTTAGTGAAGAATATCTCAAAACTTTATGACAATTTTCTGTGTATTACTGTAAACTGATCTCAGGTTTTTCAAACTGTAGTTCTGAATCTTATTCTTACTTGAAAATCCGCCATCCCAGATTCAAAAGCTTCATATACTGCAGTAAGTAAACACAAGTTCATGCACCCTGTTCTTAAGAAGATACTTATAGTGTACCTCTTTGGAAATCGTACCTGTGGGAACATAGCTGAAAGAGCACCAGTATAAAGGGCAGTGATGATAACCTTTTAGATTAACCCAACTGTAAACTCTTCTGGAATAATGTACCGTCACACTTCTCATTTTATGAGATCACTTGGCTTTAGTTTTGTCTGGACTGTATCTGTGTAACATCCAAATTTTGTTTGCAGATCCTGAATATGAATGAACAGTAAATAATTTGTTTCATGAGTAATTTGATCAATGATCCTTTCCATAACTCCCTAATGTGCTAAGGAAAAGCAGACAACAAAAGGCGGTTATTTCCTTACTGTCTCTGCTGTTAGTTTTCAGATACGGCGTGTTTACTAAAAAACACTACAGAGGTCCTTGCTACAGTCCCATATCTTCCTTCCAAATGTCCTGTGCTTTGCAACTACTTTTTTGGCATGTTTAGTTGATCGTAGCCATTTTGTAAAGCATAATTTATCCGGAGAAGTGATAGTTTTCCAGTGTTGAAAAGAATCACTGTATCTCACTGTGAAAAGTCTGACAGCATTATGGATTTCTCCAGGATACTTTAATTTATGACTTTGAGGACCAGTTCTTAATCCACAAGTTGCTCTTGTAGACTTTAACATTATAGCATACAATCCAGTGAAGCCAATACCGGATCAGTAAAAATCTTCTTTTCTTCTTTTCTTAAAAATAGTCTTGTAGCATAGGCAAACGATACTATGAGATAAAGCAGGTTGTGGAACTGTGTCATGTCAGCTACTCTTCTTAATGGATGAGCATTTTTATGGGGTGTCTGACAGGAAATGCCATACAGCTAGCCAAACTTCTGTTCAGGAAGAAATATCATGTATTTAACAAAGGGAAAATAGTTATCATTATTTATCTGACAAGCTGTTTCTGTCCAGTGTTGTTCTGTGATTATCTGCTGTTTTACTTGCACTTCCTGAAGATTCATTAGTCAGAGCACTTGCTGACTGTATTTTCTCAAGTTATATTATTCTGAAGAATGTAGGAAGTCAAAGCAAAAGTGTGTTTCATTTTAAGATGATGAAAACGAGAAGCTACTGCCATTAAATATGTGTAACGCTATATTCTTACACAGAAACTCATGAAATTTCTGGGTGTAATTTGGCTACAGGTGTTTCTGTCTCAAGAGACATTCCTCAAATTAACACTGTCAAAAGGATTCTCACTACTTTATATACCATTACCCCATAGGCTTTCCATCTCTTAGGATGTTTTCTATGAAAAACATCTTTACCTCTTAGAGATACTGTCTGCTACAGCCAATGCTGTCAAGTGATAGCAGAAAGGGGCACAGGCCCAGGAAGAGTTACCTGCTTGCCATTTTTCCCCAGCCCACACCTCGTTCTCCCTGCTCTCTCACTTGCATATTACATCCCTGCTTTTCACAGTCTGACATTTTTCTCTCTGACTGAAGAAATGTTTTAGCTAAACAAGATGAGGAGGAGAAGAGGAAGAGAAGGTTTCAAAAATCTAATATTTCTTCCTGCGTTTGCTGGCATGATAATGCTATATATTATCCAGTCTATTAGAGCAGACTGAAGAAGAAAATGTTATGACAAAAAAGAATTATAAGTAGTTTTTACTTTTTCACACTTTCCCCACTGCTTATATCCCTAAATAATCAGAGTGGCTTTTAGTTAAGTGATTTATAATTTATGCTACAGTATAAAAATTCACAACTGAAGAAAAATCACCCTGAATTTTGTGCTGAAGGCTCAACCTGTAAGTCAGATCTACGGAAATCTTGGAACAATCAGAAAAGTACAGTTTTGATTTTTAGTTTCTTTTTTCCTCAGAAAACAAGTTTGTAAGTTAAGTTGGAAACTCATATCTTTCTCACTTAATGTATCATTATTTAAAATATTCTAAAGAATCTGGGACAGTGAGTGGAACATTGTACTGTCCAGCTCGGGCAAGTGCACTTTCTCTTACCGTCCACAAGCAGGTCTGGAAAACTGCATCTAGGTTAGAGAAAGGACAGGAATAAGCCAGCTTCTCAAAGGTAAAGGTCTATGCACTATGTAGGAAAGTGATGGTTAATTTCTATATGAATTAATTGATAAAATTCCTATTTTGTTTGCATTGTTGCTTCTGGTGGAGGATTCAGGTTTGTCCTCAGTGTATGGAACAGAAGGTAAAGACTGCATATCTTTTATAAAATACAATTTCCTTCTCTACCAGTATTTCTCTGAGAGGACAATTAAAGATAAGGTCCTTCCACTATTTTCCAAAAGTTTACAGCAAAGTTCTTCTTGGCTACAGTGGAACCTAAATTTCACCTCCAAGTTTGTAAAAGGCCAAGGGAAATGATCCAGTTTTTAATATTTGTTTCTGATGGTTATGTGTGGTTTTTCCCCTGTAATATATTTGTTGCTGATCATTTTTCCACTGTTCTTATGTTTTTCACCTTTCCTATAACCTTTAATTTATGCAAGTTCTTGGGTGCTGTGCCAGACATTTTCCAGGAATGCATTTCTGCCAAGGTACATTTGTGTATCTTACTCAAAAAATATTGTTAAAATGCACGTGTATTATGAAACTGTGGACAAAATGTATCAGACTTCAACAGCAAACAGACATGAAAAAATCAGTCCTGCATGAGGCAAAATGTTAAAGAAAACCAGTGACCAACAAAAGAATTTTGTAATCAAAGCCAGTATTTAAGATATAAAATTTACAGCATCTTAGTATAATATACTCCTTGTCATATGCAGAGTCTATAAACGCCTGTGAATACCAGGTGAAAATGTAAAATGTTATGAGTTTGGTGTTTAAATAACAGGGGAAGTGGTTGCTGAAAAGGCCTTTCCATGACTTGCATGATTTGCAGTATCCCACATACAAAATAAACCATTTGTCTACACAAAACATGAGTGTTTTCAGATGATCTGGTCTGCCTAGAAGTTCCAATATGTTGTGGTGTTCTCATAACAGACTTCATTCTTAATGGTGGGTGGGGTTTTTTAAGACCTCAAATAGAAAGCAGCTACTAGGTTTCCAAATAGAAAGTTTTACCAGGACTCTTACCTCGTGTGTGAATGGTTACACTAACATAGGTGAATCCCTTGACTGTAAACCTTTTGGGCTGTTACATACTTCTGGGTGAATGTTTTACTATAATTAGTATCCTGTTTCATAAATATAATGTTTATAAAAGTGGTCCTGTTTCTGTATGTGCTAAAGGGATCTTTATTGTTCCTTCCATGTAGGATACGATTTTAACACGTCTTCATTTGGTAACTGAATCTGAGTCATACATATCTCGGAAAAATAATACTTTTTTTTTTGTGGAAAAGAAACACTTTATTTCAATGCGATTCTTCTTGTTGTTCTTGTGTCCTTTTTAGCACAATGTCCAGTGAATGAAATCCGTACAGAATCATCAGGAGTCATCCTCAGTCCAGGTTACCCAGGCACCTATCCCAACTCTCAGACCTGTTCTTGGACTATAAAGGTTGAGCCAGGATATAACATCTCCATCTTTGTAGAAATGTTTCAAAGTGAAAAGCAATTTGATGAGTTGGAAGTATTTGATGGTAAGGGAGATTTAAATTCTATCTAACCACAGAAGAAAAAATACCAGGTCAAGTGGGGCTTGATTTCCAATTGTTAGTTTCACAATGCAGTGATACATCTGAAACTTAAACAATAGTCCAGTGTTTCTACTACTTTGCCTTAAATCTAAATCTGTTAGCCAATGAAAGTTTTTATAAATGTATTCAAGGCAAAGAAGTTTTTAACATTTTCTTAGGTATTGTTAGAGGAGGAGCAGTAGCAACTGCAGCATCCCGGTGAAAGTCACAGAGTTTTCTGTTTCCTGGGAAATGTATGGAGGTGTCTGAAAGGAGAAGTTAATGTGCCATTTTTTCTGGTGAGGAAATATTTTGGGGTTATAATTCAATGTCCAATTTAATAAAATTATTTGAGTATAAATACTCAAATTCGAGTCCAAATACCCAGGCTACTTTCTCCATAGCACAGCAGAACGAGTGCTGCACATTGAGTATACCCCTATTAAAGTATTTGACCATCTGTTTTGGGACAGAGTAGAGAAATAGAAAAAACTTTATTTCTGATGTATTACTCATAGCAGCACCTCTAAAAGGGCCCTATTTTAGTAATAGGCTATTCTTATTTTCTGATGAATTCTGAGCTCATTATCACTTGTTCTGTTCTCGTTGATTGATGAGAATAACTAGTCCCTGATTGTTCTTTAATATATTTTTATTCATTTGGAGACCATTATCATATCTTCCCTCATTAACCAAGAATATATGGTAACTATGATAGAACTGACTAATATTCACTACGATTAATATTCAACATGAAAAGTATTAAAAGGTCATATGATTTAAGGTATCTTGCTCTAAGAATTTTTCTTAAGTAGTAGGTTTTTAATGTCTAAAATTATTAATTTGTTTTCACTTTTTGATAACAGCATTCTGAAAAAAAACCACAATATTGTTCAGTCTTTTAAAAATGCCAGTTCATTAGCATATTATTTATTTATTTATAATGTGTTTGTTGGTCTGTGGCAAGTTAGTGGAAAAACAGTCTGGAAAAAAAGTGTTAAGACTGTATTTTCCTCCACTCTATTTTGTATTTAACATCAAGACAATATGTAGCGTGCCTGGAACTTTTCTAGCAATCTAATTACCTTGTTTTCTTTTGAAAAATTCTGTTGAAACTGCTTAATGTTCCTGATGAAGATTTTTGTTTTCTTTCTTATGCATTTTAATTTAATGAAACGAGATTATCAATAATAGATCTGAGAGAAGAATTATCATAGTTACTACATTTTTAAGCATTGTCATTTCATGACATGAAATCACATTCTTACAAATTCATCTCTAGTGCAGCTCTACTGAAGTCATTTTTTCTACCACCTACCAGCAAACTGAAATGAGAAAGATAATGGCATATTTATAACCTCTTAATACAGTGCCATGTAGAGATTCCTGAGCTAGCTCTCAACAAGTTGATATTTAAATATTGCACATTGTAGTGCCTTGCAGAGATACTTGCTTGTGTCCCTGCGGCCACATTAGCAATGTGCTTTGCTAGGCTAATTAGTTCTACATCTCAGCATGATGAGTTTGTTGGGGCAGAAGGCAATGCTGATGTGGCTATACTGTTTCCAGTGATGGATATAAGTCAGACTAGCTCGTTCAGAACTAGTTATTTCCCGACATTACTGCATTTTGCAATAAATGTTTGTCATATCCTGAGGCCTTGTATGGTCCAAAACAGCATACCTTTCTTAAGTTAGTAGAACACCAGGTACAGATATATCTACACCAGGTAAAGATACATGACCAAACTTTACAAGGAAGCTATATAAAGATTGTCAAGACAACTTTTAAAGAAATAGCATTTTCTAAGGCACAGGTCTCTGATTACTTTATAAGGCAGCTTTGGAATGCAAACCAAAATAGTGAGTACACCTAACTGACTACATTGTAAATTAGGGTGCTTCAGCAGCTGGGTGATGATTGGTATAGGCATCCAGTCAATGAGGCCACCCTGGTCAGCTGGGAGCAATAAGCCCATTAGCCATTCCCACTTATCAGTCAGACCTTTGGGGAGTCCCATCTGTGTTCTAAACCAGAGAAGCTGTGAGTGTATCATCAGTATAATTATTACAGTCTTTTGAACTTGAAAACACTGTATTCAAGCTACTTACACTGAATAACATTCCTTTGATACAGAAGTATCCTTTGATTTCTTTTTTTTTTCTCCCTGAAATAAACCAGCAAATTTCTGTCATTAAAAATAGATGGAAATGTCAGCTTTTACCTAATATTCAGGAAAGTATCATATAGCAGGTCAACACAACAGAAATTGAGTATTTATTTCTGTATATAGACAAACTCTGAAATAATAATAAAAAAATCAGACTCAAGAACACTGAAGTCATGCTGTTGATTTTGCTGAGCATTATCTGGAGACCTGCCTGCTAGGTAAGGTACAGAAAGTGATACTCAACTTCAGGAAAAATAAAGCAAACTAAAATAGATTTTTACACAATTTCTGTGATCTCCTAAAGGCTAGAAAATGTGGTATGGCATGTGGTGCTGCAAACTAATTTCATGGTTACTAATGAGGAAATATTCTCACCTCTTCATATGTAATAGTTCTTTATTAGTAATTGTACTCTTTTAGCCTCTTTATTTAAGAATTTCAAAAGAACATATACATTCTAAATTGTAACAAGTATATTAAACAGATTTTACAAAACCCAGGGTGAAGCACAGAGAAACTAAATGCATTGTCATTTTCTAAATATTTTTTTCCAGCAAAAATAGGAGTCGTCCTCAGCATTCCTCATGATTTAACCTACACCGTAACCATCAAACACTAAGTCCCTAATATGTAAAGCAAGCAAGCTACAAAGCATTTTGATGAGGACATGCTGGGCAACCTATGCCTAAAGCTACGCTTATTTGTTTTTATTTTGTATATGTTTTATTCTTTAGAATTTATTGAGTAATATTTCTTTAGTTGTAGTGTTGTCATTATGGTGACTGAACTGCAGTTCCCAAGAACTAGGAAGTTATCTTAGTCTTTGTGGTTTGCTGTGGCTTCTATAGCCTCCCTTTTGTACCTGAAATGTCCTGATCAGAAAATATACTTATTTTTTATTGGACTGGAGGGGGAGAAGGCTGACAACAATTGTATTCAATTTTTAGCTGTCATTTAATTCAGTTTTATTTCTGTGTTTTCATGCAACATAAAATGAACTGATCAGGCTGCAGCTGCTCAAACTCAGCAAAAATGAATGAAGCAGCCTCTTTATTTGAAATAGCTGCTTTGGCCAAGATAATGGTGGTTGAATGTGGCTTTCCTAAACTTGAAAAATGTGGAGCAAAAGGCATAGGGAGCATGCGAAAGGGAGGAGTTCAGCTGGAGAAATCATAACCTTCATATGGAGGAAGAAAATGGCCATTTCATGTTTTAGAAAACTTTCAGCTGGAGATTGGCTGATATGCAGATTTTTTTTTTCTCTTGCATATAAGTTGTATTATTATATATTTAGGCCCCAAATCATTTTTTGTGTTTCTAGGGTTTTATTGTGGTCAAGATAGTGGTCTAGTGCCAGGGCACATTTTTCAGCATCCCGTATTTACCAGAAGTGTGTATTTTTTTTAAACTAAAATGATACTATAAAAAACACGCTATCTTTTAACAGAACTGAGTCCTAATGAAGTATGTAGTGTAAATTCATAGTGCTTGTACATATGTGTATTCCACAGTGAAACTGTGATGATCTTACATGTGACAGAGCATTTTTTAGCTAATGTGTTCACTATGTAATATGCTGGTGTTTAAAATTATACAACCTGTACTATGTCAAAGAATGTATAGATTTGCTACCACTCACTAGTTGGAAAAGAGATTAAATAAATAGTAGATATAAAAGGACAAGGAGCATAACCTCATTCAAAGTAATTGTCCCAAATAGAAATGATTAAAAAAAAAAAAAGTTTTTTTATTGTGCTCTCTAGTGAATACCTAAAAACAGATGGATAGTTTAAATAGAGAACTGGTAATTATTTCACTGACAACGATGTGTGAGGTTAATTCCTGTTCTTTCCTTATATATTCACATTCACAGCTGAGTTAAAATATAGAAAAGATTACTTAAACTGGTAGTACTTTAAAATATCAATGCTTCCTTTATTCATCTCTGAAGGTTCTTCTGGGCAAAGCCCTTTACTGGTGTCTTTGAGTGGAAATCATACTGGACAACTGAACTTTACAAGCAAAATGAATCAGCTGTATCTTCGCTGGTCAACTGATCATGCAACCAGCAAGAAAGGATTTAAGATCCGTTACTCAGGTAACTATTAATGATTTCTATTACACTATACTTTGTGGTTACATATTCTATTTAGCATCAAATTGGGACTTGCAATATGATGTCTGTTTCTCTGAAGATAATTTATTGTAATATATATTCTGAGGACATGTAATCATTCTGTTACAAGTTCAAGGTAAGCACAGGACTTGGACTCTGGTTTTACACAGTTTGCCAAATATCTCCAGATTAATAGTTGTCCAGTGAATACTTCTTTCTGCAGCCTACTGTCTTGTCTTACAAGACATGGATCAAGGTATTTGAAATGTAGTGGGAGGGATAGATTTACATAAAAGTACTCAAGAGTGAGAATTTTTGATCCTGAAGTGGTGTGCAGTACTCCACCTGCAATTCAGTATACAATTGGTAGGTTTACAATTTCCCTGATCTGTGGTTCACCACTGCTATTACTATGATTTCTTCATGTACAAATGAATGGAAAACCGGGGGGGGGAAATCCCTCGCTTCTTCAAAATGCTGCACATGAATCTGGTGTTGTGGTGACATGAAAATATGTAAATAGTCTATCTAAATAGTGTCAAAAATTATGTCCCTTATTAAGAAAAAAATCTGTTACCGATATTACAATACTGGGTTATATTCTATATGCAGATATATTGACCCTTACTCAAGTTTGCAGCCTATTTAAGATGTTTTCACGCGTACATCTGCAGACACATTTCTCCTAAATGCCTTGCCTTAGGGATCATGTACATGAAGTAAATAGTGAGAGAAAGAGAGGTGATAATTACTGTCCATTGTTAACATTTTCTTTTTCTGTATTTGGACTTAATTAGCAATGTAAAGGTTGTAAGTGTTAATTTTGTTGGCTAATAATTGTCAACATAAATTAAGTAGAGAAAGGAGTACTGAGAATGCTTTAGAACATTTTGTAAAGCACCAAGTATCTCCTATTTAGTCATGCTAAATGCCATTTAGGGAGATGATTTCACAAAGCTCACGCCTTTCCTATATCATCCATGCACTGGCTGTCTAACCTGTGGAAAGCTTCTCCTGTTGCTGAAACAGAAGATCAGGGCCGAGCTTACAGCATAGTAATGGTCATTGTTTTAGGGACTTAAAAACTATGAGCAGTCGGGGAAGGAAAAAAAAAACACAGTAAAAGCATTACCTCCACCTTGCAAGCAGCTTTGGAGTATTGCTACAGACAAACTGAAACTGAGGAATGGGAGAAAGGGAAGTTGTTTTCAGGCAGATTGGAGACTCATTTAGTTTTTCATAGGGAAAAGGCAATTGCAGGACCTGATCGATGGATGGAGAGTGTGGAAGAAGTAACAAAGAGAATCTGTCACATGATAACCCTCAGATGTGTGAAAGTGAAGGGAGTGGGCCTTCTGTCATGAATTTAAAGTGAGGAAGTAATATTAGGCTTACAAGAACAGAGAGGTAAAGGATTTATTTTGTATGTATCAAATCAGTAAGAAGAGTAATTTTTGAGGAACGAGAAATTATTTTACCCCTTTGCCTGTACGCAAAACATGTTTTGCAGTAGTGAAGAAGTGGTCTGTCTAATTGCTAGGCTCAATTCATCCATTATTGTGGCACTAGCTGCAACTAATAATAAAACTGGGGGACTGGACAGAGATATGCAATCCTTATGGCTATGTTTTAGGAACAAACAACTGTTTTCCTTTTTCCGCTTCACTAACAGTCAGTGCCTGCATTTTTCTCTACATTCTTCTGTACGTTTTACATGAGATTCAATGGAAATAATCAGCATGAAAGAAGAGTAACAGTGAGCGGCAGCATAAACAATAGGATTTGAATCTTAATGAGGGAAAGCAACATCATGAAAGTAGGAAAAATATGAGATCCCAAAAAGGCTATTGATACTGTGGCAGCTGTGACTGAGCCAGCAGGCTTCTTCATAATGAAGACCTTATTGAAATGAATTACTGCCCTCGCACAACCCTCCCCTTCTTCTCCAGCTATGCCTGTGCACAAAATGTGGCAAATTATAGTTTTGCCGCAACTAGATTTCATTTGTAGATACAAATTCTGCACTTTTAAAAGGACTAGAAGGTTTCAGAGGAATGCTTAATACTGCCCTTAGCTTACACAAACAAGCTCGTATGCTATTTGTCTAATGTTACCCGTATGTTTTCTGTCTTGTGGTTTAATGCTTTTTGCTAAATCTTAGTAGAAAAGATCTATAGCATTAAAGCAGCAGGGTATTCATTTAAGGACTTGGAATATTATAGAGGCACTAACATAATTTTAATCTAAATAATAAATTTCCTAACTGCACTAACACCTAGGTATTAACTAATCTCTTCCTTAATCTAGTGAGTTTAGTAAAGTGTAGTGAAACTAGGAGGGGAAGCATCAGTTAAAATTTCTTACAGCTCTAGGCAAGTAATCCCTTTTTTCTTTGAAAGGTATGTAGTATGGTCAAATCACTAAAATGGATGCCAAAAATATAAGGAGAAGGTATTGCATGCTAAAATTATTTTTTGATTTTTCAGTGATTGCTTGTTGTTTTGTAGTGCTTGAATTTGACTTTCTGGTGCAGCTGGGTTCAACCAAAACTAAGTAGTTTATTACAAATGGGGAAGATCTGTAAGTGCAGAAAGTGGAATTTGCTGAACCCAGGCTAGGAAACTCGCTCCTTGAAATTGTTTTGAAAGAAACCTGCAGAACCTGCTACTGGGCTTTGTTTTCCCTCAGTAGTTTATGACCCTGCATGCACGTTCCTGCCCAAGCAAGCTAGCATGAAAGCATAACAAAGAATAGGTGAATGATTTTTTTTAAGTAGTGGTGGAAGAAATGAAAGTGTATGTTCTGGTTTCACTGCGGCCGGCAACAAAAGCGCCACGCGGCCGCCCCTCCCCCCGCCAAG